TTGGTCTGGCTGATGATTTTAGTCAGCCAGGCTCTTTGTGTACATCTCGTTACACCAGTCCCACACCCTGCAGTGGTGGTGAGGTGAGAGAATGCGCGTAAAGATGATGTATTTCTTTTAGCTGATGCAAAATGTTTGATGCAGTCTACTTTTCATTTCCAGGTAATATTACGGACATTAGACCCGAGCGGTGCTAAAAGACTGGACCCTTACAGTTCAGAGGCTCTTGCCCGCCTCACCCTCACCAACCTCCGCATCAGACTGCTCAAAGCTCAGACCTGCTCTGCACCTCTGAACCAGCCGACAGGACGCGCAACCCCCACGGCCTCAGCACTGACATCCACTACAGAAAACTCAGCCTTAGCACCGTATGCCATTTACACATTACTGGCCAAAGGGACCTGCCTGTGCCACGGACATGCTGAGTATTGTGTACCACACAACAGCAGCCAAGACACTAGTCAGGACAGTAATGTGGTGAGTAGCTTTTTCTGTGTGAGTAAATTAATGTCAAAGTAAAAGAACAGACATGGATAAAGAGGTGTGAGGACGTTCCAGGAATAAAAAATTGTTAGAGTGCTTTAAATTGCTCGATTAACTCTTTAACAACACCCGCCTGGATCTGCTTTACAGCCTTCTCTAGGCAGCAGGTGCATGCATGTAACATTCACTAATGTAGGTGAAGTAACTGAGCAGGCCCAGATGTGTCTTCCAGGTGTCTGGTAGGTGCCTGTGTACTCATCACACGGCGGGGGATCACTGTGAGAAGTGTGCCCCACTCTACAATGATCGTCCCTGGAGGCCCGCCAACGGCAGCAGCGGGGAGCCGAACCCGTGCCAGAGTACGTGACTGCACAACTATTAGATCAGTGGGTAGTCCTGTTGCTGACAGAATAACTAGAGAAGAAAATTTTAGGTGTGGAGGGAGTATCAGGGAAAATGTGGGTAGGTCTTATTAAGTTAACTCTTTATAACCGTTTTGACAGGATTCATTTTGGTTGTTTTTAATATTGTTCATCAGATGTTGACAAGCTATAAAATGCTGATTTTTAAATCAGACTAAAGCAGTGAGCCCTGCAGGAGAGTACCCGAGTCTACCAGGGCATAAAAACAGACTAACACTTGATATATAGTTTTTTTTAAGTAATCAATAAGGAGAGGGGCATAGAATCATGTATCCAATCAGAGCTAACAGGTAACATTAGACCCCTCATCCTGCAGCATCACTGGTAAGGAAGAAACCTGAACAGGGTTCAGATGAGCCTGAGACTCAGCCATTAATGATGTAATACATGGTTGCATTATGGAATAGGATACACTCGGCAGGAACTTTTACTTTTAATACTTTAAGAGCAAGTAATTACTTATACTCAAGTAGAAAAGTTAATATTGTACTTTTACTTTGGTAAAATGTTTAAACTCCTTCTCCACCACTGCTGGTTATCACTTCTTGCTGGTTTTTCAACTGCGTTCTGTTGAACAACACAAAAACTTAACATAGGCCTATGAATTGTTTCATTCATGTTACCAGCTGACTCTCCTGATGTCCTCACTCTCTCTCTCTCCTCTCTCCCACATCTCTGTGACGCCAGAGTGCGAGTGCCACGCTCACGCAGACAGCTGTCACTTCTCTCAGCGGGCGTGGCTGTCATCCGGTGGCACCAGCGGTGGGGTTTGTGTTGACTGCCGGCACGACACGGTTGGGCGTAGGTGCCAGCGCTGTCGCCATGGCTACCACCGTCATCCCTTCCTGCCCCTCCATTCCCCCCACGCCTGCACACGTAAGAGACACACAGAATAAAAGGTCACTCATTGATTCTCTGGAGTGGTGGATGTGCTATAACCAGTTATCAAAGCCACCTTAAGGAGGTTGAATGATGCCACCAGGCATCACCAGATTAATCTGTGATCTCTGTCCAATATTCTTCTTGATCTAAGAAAACGAAGTGTGTAAATTAAAGAGAACCAGTAATGTCTTGTGGCTCCATCTGCTGGTTTTTTAACAGCAAAACCAAATGTTCCATCGGCATACAGACCTACAGTATATCTGTGCTTCTCAGGCTGCAGGTGTGATCCACAGGGCTCTCTGTCTCCTCGGCCTGGAGAAGAGGGACCCTGGTGCCACCCTCGGAGTGGACAGTGCCACTGTAAATCAGGTGTAGGGGGCACAAGCTGCAGCTACTGCCTGCCTGGCTACTGGGGCTTTGGAGATAAGGGCTGTGAACCCTGTGCCTGCCCTCTCAGCTGCAATCCCACCACTGGGCAGTGTCTCGACAGGTAGCTGTACATTTAATCTTTGGCCGTATGTTTCACCAAACAGTAAGGAAAGTCAATTTAACAGTATAATTACGGCAGATGATGTGATTGTGTTATATGCTCTGTTTGAATGCTGCAGCTACACAAATAATCAGGTGTTCAATGTGCCTGTTGGAGGTAAAATCCCTGATCTGGATCATATGTTGCTAATTGAAGAAGAAGTACAATGGTCGAAGGAGCTCGCAGTCTCTGCTCTGCATTATACAGGTGAGGGATGGAGCAGCTTACTTTGAAATAATGCTTGTTCACAACAAACATTGTAAGGATTAAAACTGTGGAACGACTGTTTCACACTTGAAATCAGATCATATTTTAATGCCTCTACACAGGAAAGTGCAACTGCAAGGAGAGGAAACTAAGAAGTGGGTCTGACCTCTGTAGGACTAAACACGACTACGGTAAGAGATAAACAGCTCTACCTATTTTTATAATCTGTACATTGAATTAAGTTTATAAAATACGGTCTCAATGTTTGCTGTATGCTTCCATCTGTTTGACAGTGATCAAGGCCAGCGTGCTGTCTGCTCATGACAAGGGCAGCCACGCAGAGGTCCAGGTCAAAGTTCGCAAGGTCCTTCGATCAGGGAAGGTGGCACTGAACCTGGGAACCATCAGCCTCTATCCTCTGTCCTGGACCAGCCGCGGCTGCACCTGTCCGATTCTAAACCCAGGTAAGACTCAGGGATCAGTGCTACATGAGGCGCAGAGTTACTGTTCAGTTAATGCACCAAATGAAGTAAGAGGCTAAACAGATGTACTGGTATGTGGTTTCAACATTAAAAGATTAATAATTAAGACCAATCGAACACAGGAAGAAATTGAGTTTTGTGAACCACCAGTCGATTTTACATTGAGACCAATATACTGGTAATAAATGAATTATCTACCTTTATTAATTGAAACAATAGTAAGACGCTGCCGTGTAAACAACATTTTCTGAGGACTTTAACTCAAATAACGTCATACATGAATAAGCATAAATCAAATCAAGACGTGGAGTGTTCTGACTTTAGTAGCATAATGTAGACGTGTATGTCTTAATAACAATATACAGTTGGAAAAAAACAGTAACTGATCTCTTTGGAAAATTTTGACCTTGACCCTAAACATAAAAGTAAACTTACTACAGAATGAACTCAAACAAGAAAATCCCCCTTTTGAACTGGGCTCAGTTACAGCCCACAGCTCAGAGGGGTTCCCAGTGGAGTGGTCCAAAATTCATCCTGACATTCTGCCAGACTGATCCAAAGTTCCCAAAACCACTTGTGTGAGGTTATTGATGCCAAAATATGTCAAACCAGTTATTAAATCCAAGGGTTCACTTACACTTTTCCCCAGCACAAGGGATGCTACGTGGGTTTGCTCAGTTAAGACATTACAAACACATCACACCGGTTTGTCTTTGTGACTTTGATTGAGATCAGATTATGCAATTAATTACTGCACAAAAGCAGGTCTTTGCAAAGGGTTCACACACTTTTTCTTGTCACTGTAACATCCCTTTGGAGTTTTCACAGCATTTTGACATCGACATACAGTTGTTGGTGCTTGACAACACATGCCCTGGGTAGTAGTAGGACGTAATATTGATGCGAGTCATAATCAGACTATTATCTGTAACATGGAACCAGGAATGTGAATAGAATATTCTATTAGCAACGCATGTAAACATCATAATGGAAATCATTTCTTATTCAGAATAAGATCAGTAGATAGAATATTGCTGTCCATGTGGAGTCAGTGCATAACATCTAACATTTCTAGGTATGGAGTACCTGCTCGCAGGCCCAGAAGAAGCTGGAACAGGCCGTTTGCTGGTCACCATGCAAAGTGTCGTGGCCCCCTGGACACCTCGACTGGGTCTACTCATATCAGAGGGCCTGAGGAATGGATGTCCATGAGCTCTATGATCTGTAAAGGCAGGACACACTCCAGAGAACTGCACAATTCATAAGTCAGTGGACAATTCAGAAAAGGGACTGAAAATATCACTGGACAACATCTACAATGGCAAATTATCCAAGAGGTGAACTCACGGTCAATCCAGAAGAGCAGTACTCACTCTGTGTGAGTGTCACATAAAATAAAGCCATTAATTAATGCTTGAAAATCAGATTTGATAAACTGTCTGTTAATGTGATGAACCTAAAATTAAAGGTCTTACCCAGATACAAGATTGTTTATACACAAACAGCAAACTATTTCTATTTGCTTCTATTTTAGATCCTCTTACAACTTTGTCAAACCGAGTCTTTCAAATCGATTCAATCGTTTGATCCTTTTACTGAGAGAAAGAAGAAACTGTACAGAACACTATGGTAATCATTAAGCTACACAAAAATATGTATCATGTTTTTGTATCAATAAATGTCAAACCGTTTCTTAAAAATTATGCTCTGTAACTTTTGGTATAAATAATGAATACAATAGTTTGGAATCGAAACCTATAGCTGAATACTGAGGGATAATGTTGAAATGCTATGAAACTATACCCAACACATAAACAATATAAGTGAAGGCTATAATTTACCACAGTGGGTTGCTGTCTTATTATATACAATCAATGATTATGCATAAACGCTTGTAGGTAATTTTGGCTCAGACAATGAGAAAGTTGAAATCCTTGACATAAAATATAGATGTGCTTTGTCTTTAGAAGGACAAAAACAAAATGGAGGTAGAAATTGTTTGACGATCATTTTTAATTTGGACGTGTTTTATAAATACCATGAAGTCCTTTAAGGCCTGAGTGACACTGAATGGTGACCACAGCATTCAAAGTGGAGACTCTGGACAGTGGTGAGACAAGGAAAAGATTTATGCAGCAACAGTTGAACACAACAAACCACTATGGTCTGGGCCAGATACAGCGTTTGTTAACAGAAATGACAAACATCGCTCACGCGGCAATAGATGCAGATGTAGATCTTGACAAAACTTCTGTGTCTATATTAGTATAATGTTCACTGCACAGAAGCTGGAACAGTAGCCTTGTTTCCGTATAGATCATCTGTGTTTTGGTCTCTCAAGTGATGGAAAGCAAAAGTTTTCAAATGTTTAACTAAAAACTATCTTAATTTGAGGTAAATTCTTAAAAAAAAACATCAACATTGCTCAAATAGATCTACTGCTCAGATTAACAGGTGATAAATCAGTGCTAATAGATAATCCTGACAAACATAATGAATAACTCTTGATTAACATGAGAAAACACAGCAAATCAAACACATGTATCTATTGCATATAAAGGTGAGTCTTTGAGCTAGGGTCTCTGCAGCAAATAGCTTGGCCCGCAGACATTAAATGATGCCATCCAATGATTGAGTTCTCAGCAAATAAAAGCAGCCTATACTTTTGTACATATGCTATGGTTTTTCTGCACACACAAAGTCCTTCTCTGATGGCCTTTGTAAAAACTGCCTTCGGGTGTTAGAGCTGTGTCGGTCATAGCCTTCTCCTTAGGCTGAAACAGGTGAACAGACCAATCACGGCTCCTCGTGGAGAGTCATTTATGCTGGGCAGTGCTTGCACACAGAGCTGTGAATGACGAATGATTGACCTTAGCTGGCAGTCTGGATGTCTGTAGGTGACACGCTGTCAGCTGAGGGATCTGAAGTGGATGGTGTAGCGTCAGTTTCAGGGGACAAGGAGGAGCCCTCGGTCTGGGCAGCAGAGGCTGGGCCGGTGTCAGACTCTGCTTGGGTGGAACTCTCTTTATCTTCCTCCTGAGGATAGAGCTCAGGGTACCTCTGCATGCATTCTTGCATGTTGCGGAAGTTGTCAATGCACTCGGAGCCCTTCACCTCTTCCGTACTGTAGTGGAAGCAGGAGAACGCCTCTTTGAACTGAGAGCCGCATGGTCCGCTGGCCATGCCGCCCAAGCACGGGCAGTTCCAGTTGATGTCTCCACTCGGCAGGATCAAGCCTGAAGAAACAGGAAACCGCACAATGACAAGTCAACAGGTTGAGTTAAGGAAAAGGTTGTGATGGATATTTTGTGGGGCCGTTAAGATTCCACAGTTCATATCTGTTCTTTTATTGTATCTTTTTATTTATTTACTTATTTTTAAGACCACAATTTCTTGGTTATTAGTCAAACTGAAAAAGCATAGCTTTTACTGCAGGTGATATTACTCAGTCACTATTGGACCAAAATAGCTGTAAAACAATAAAATAAGTTTAAAGTTTAATATTTAGGAAGTATACAGCTCTCCTTAAATTTAAACAGAATAAGAATTCCTAGATTCACATGTTTATTGTAATTTTTTAAAATGGAATTACATTTGTAAGGTAATGACAGCGGTCGCAGTTGGTTTGGGGTATCATGTTTCCATCTTACTGACATTGTGGACATCTACATGAGTTTCTTCTCAGTTTAAGATTTGTTAAATCCCAGTCAAAGACCAAAACCTGCAATGTGCGATAATGTTTAATATTGTGAGGACAATATGATGTGCGATAAATACACATAAACAGTCCCTGGCTACGGACTCAGAGATCACAGACAGCTCCACAGCCGAGAGAAGGCTCACAACCCAGCGTCAGTGCCACTACGTCCAGGGCAAACACCAGGGAGCCATGCACAGCTAAACTAAGTCCAATCAAAGTGTTGATTTAGAGTCTTTTCATACATGTTTGGACCATGAAAAGATATTTCTTTACAGTTTCTAGCGGCTCTGTCAGTAATTTACTGCTCCTCTAGGTGTCTATCATTTGCGCACTACGTGTGCACTGCGCCATTTGAGTCAAACCAAAATTAGCACGACACTATCTCCTCCAGCTCCACATACATTTGCTAAGTTTACAAATTCTGTTATTCCCCCAATTGAATTAACACGTGTCCACTGTTTGAGTGTTTGAGTGTGTGTGTGAGAGAGGGGAAAGGAGCAAACGGGACGTGATTTGAGATGTTGATCATCATGTGATGATCTGTGTTGATATTGTGGCGACAAACAAATCAACATTCATAGTGTGAAAGGTCAGAGACATCAGCTGAGAGAGACACACACACACACA